AACCATGCAAGTATCATTGCATGCTTCGCGCCCCCGCCAGACCAATAATACATGCGCTGCAGCGCACGTGAATTTCTGTAGGATATGCACTGCACCCCTCTTGTTCGGACATGCGCTCGCGCGGGCGGATTGACGCGTTTCTTCAGGGAGGTGGCTAGCGACGCCGCAGCGCCTGCAGTCCGATCGGCTTGCGCAGTGTTCGAGGCGCACGCGATCGTTGTGGAAGAAATCCTACGAGTATCCAGGCGTCAGGCAGACGCGGATAAGCTGCGGGCTGCGGTTAACAGGTTTTTGCTGTCATACAGCAGCGTCTTTGGCAAGGAAACGATGGCGCAGAAGTTCAATTACCTGCGCCACTTCGCCAACTACGTGAGGCGTTGGGGCCATGCGGCGCTGCCGTCGCGCTGGGTTTTGGAGCGCAAGCACAAGACCAGCAAGCGCTTTGCGAACGCTCTTCAGGCGGGGGCTGCAGCCTCCAGCGGCTGGGACGCCAACGTCCTGAAGAGCGTCACCGAGCGGCACCTGTGGCAGCTCATGGATGGCGACACCTTTAAGGTAAACTGCCTGGTTAACGCCACCAGGCCGTCCAAGGCCATCTCGCGCGAACTGCTGCAGCAGTTCGGGCCTGCGGACTTTGTTACGTCCGCTGCAGCGCGGCGCCGCTGCCGCGACGTCAAATACGGCGACGTCGTGCTGTTGGAGGACGGAGGAGGGGAACGCATTGCGGCCGAGGTGTTGAAACACCTCTCCTTCACCAAGAACGGCCACTACTATGGCTTGAGCTTGGTCCTGCCCTACTTCTTCAAGGAGAAGCTGCACCCGCGCGCCTCCGCGCACGTGCTTGGCGGCGATGCCGACGCCTTTTGGGCGCGCACGGCGAGCATCGTGCGATCGCTCGCGCGGGCGCCGCGCGAGGGCGGCGGCATCCGAGCGGCGCGCCCGATATGGTCGCAGCCGCGGTGGTGCGCTTTAGCTTAAAACGTGGATTCCTTACTGGCGCTGCAGCGCACTTTTTTGCATTGCTAAATGCTTCGGTGCTGCAGCACCTGAACGTTGCATGGTCGACGACTCCTCTTCTCAGCCTTGAAAACGTGGATTCCTTCTGCATGGCGCTGTAGCGCACCTTTTTCATTGACACTTCGGTGCTGCAGCACCTGAACAGTGCATGGTCGCCGATTCCTCTTCTCCGCCTCGTTCCTCCGCCTCCTCTTGCGCTGCAGCGCTAATGTCGTTGATCAGTGGTGCGGTCGTTCAAACTCCTCCTTCCCCTCATCCTCCCCCTTCTCCCCCTCCTCCTCCTGCTCCTACTGCTGCTCCTCCTCCTCATCTTGCTCCCCCCCCTCCTTCTCCTCTCCTCCTCCTCCTCTGACGATGGGGGGGGGGGGGGGGGGGGGGGGGGAGGCGGGGAGGAGGAGGGGTGGGGTGGGGGGGGGGGCGGGGGGCCGGTGCGGGGGGGGGGGGGGGGGGAGGAGGAGGAGGAGGAGGCCGGAGGTAGAGGAGGAGGAGGAGGAGGAGGAGGAGAGGAGGAGAGGAGGAGGAGGAGGAGCAGCACAGGAGGAGGAAAAGCGACGAGATAGCCTCAGAGCGAGAGGAGGATGGGGGGGAGGAGGGGGGGGGGTGGGGGGGGGGGAGGAGGGGGAGGATGAGGATGAGGAGGGAGGAGGGGGGAGGAGGAGGAGGAGGAGGAGGAGGAGGGGAGGAGGAGGAGGAGGAGGAGGAGAGATGAGGAGGAGGAGGAGGAGGAGGAGAGAGAAGAGAGAGAGAGAGAGAGCTTAGCAGGAGGGAGGCTGAGGAGGAGGAGGAGGAGGAGGGGATGAGGGGAGGAGGAGGACGAGGGAGGAGCGAGAGGGTTAGGAGGACGAGGAGGAGCATGAGGAGGAGGAGGACGTACGGGAGGAGGATATGATGAGACGAGGAGGGAGGGCGAGAGCGACGGAGGCGGAGCAAGGGAGGAGGAGGAGGGAGGAAATGAGGAGGAGGAGGAGGAAGGGGGAGGAGGAGAGGGCAGGAGGAGGAGGGAGGAGGAGGAGGAGGAGGAGGATAGAAGGAGGGAGGAGGAGGAGACGCCGCCCGCGCGCGTGCGGCTTACAGGCCGCGCGGGGAGCGCGCCCTCCCTTTTCCCTTTGCTTCGCGGCTCGGGATCGCCATCGAAAAAACATATCAAGACATGTTTTTCGATGGCGACCCCGAGCCATGGGGCAGTCTCCTCTCGGAGGACCCCTCGGGGATGTCGGGGATCCTCCTCGACATCCCCGAGGGGTGGGACGGGCTCGGCAGCCATCGGCCCGTCGCACGTCGTCGTCCCCCAACCCTCTGGGTTGTGGACGACGGCTACGTGCGGTGGGCCGCTCTGGCTGCCGAGCGGCGCGCGGGGCCCCCCCCGCCGCCCGCGCCAGCGGCAATGCCGCTGGAGATGGCGGCGCAGAGCGCGGCGCAGGCGAACTTCGCCTGCGCCGCGCTCAGCCGCGCCAGGCTGCCGCTCGACGCGGCGGCCCTGCAGGGCCGCCGCGTCGAGCGGCCGTCTTGGGCTGAGGCGCGCCCGTCGCCGCCTCCGCCGCCGCCTCCCCCTTTCCTCCTCCTCCTCATCCTCCTCCCCGTCCTCCTCCTACTCCTCCTCCTCCTCGACATCTCCTCCTCCTTCTCCTCCTCCTCCTCCTCCTTCTCCTCCTCCTCCTCTCTCCCCCTCCTCTTCCTCCTCCTCCTCCTCCTCCTCCTCCTCCTTCTCCTTCTCAGAGTCCGCTAACCACTTAGTAAGTCCGCTAACCACTTAGTAAGTAAGCTAGCTAGCGGACTTACTATGTGGTTACTAAGTGGTTAGTAAGTGGTTACTGGGTGGTTACTAAGTGGCAGCTAAGTGGTTACTAAGTGGTTAGTAAGTGGTAGCTAGAGTGGGGAGTGGGGACTTAGCGAGCTAACCTCTACTAGAGACTTAGCAAGGTTAGCCTCCAGCTATAAGTGGTTAGTATCTCCTACTAACCAGTTGTAGCTGGTTATACAACTTACATCCTACTTACAACACTTATAACCTACTTACAACTCACTTGTACGTACATACTAAATCCTCTAACCCCTTAGTATCCGCGCTAACCGCCTAGCAGCCGCCGCGGCCATCCAAGTGGCCGCGACCTCGACCATCCACGGGGTCACCAGGTGCTCGACGCCAATGCTCACGCCGTGGAGGTCGCCCACCTGCGCCCGCGCCGTCCTAACCTTGGCCTTGACCTCGCGCGCCGCGTGCTCGGCAAGGCCGTTGCCCTGAGAGCCGCCGACCGCGCTCTCCTCGGGCACCGTCTCGATGCCGTGCTCCTCCTTGAGCTTGGCCCCGATGCGGGCCTACAGGGCCACGAGCGGCGCCTCGCCGTCCGAGCGGAAGACGAAGCGCTCGTGGCCAGCCGATGCCAGCCTCCTGGGCCATGACTTCGCCGGCCGCGCCCCCTTGGATGGAACCGCCGACGCGTGGAACCAACGCTGCTTCGAATCCTTCCCTATTAGCAGCAGCGCGGCGCCCTCTCGTTCACCGAGGTAGCCGTAATCGATGCCAACCACCGCGAGCGCCGACTCCTGGCGGCCCTTCGTCTGATGGCCTGCGGACAGGCCCCTGCCGGAGGCGCACTCCAGGCACCATGCCCTGTAGGGCTCGCGCAGCACCTCGCGCGCGGCTCGCTCGGCCGCCGTCGGCGCCGCGGGCCCCCATCGCTGGCCGCGCCGGCGGGCCCTCCGCGACCTCCCCGTGAGCCGCGCCTGGCTGGCCGGCCTCGCCCTCGGGGGGCTCGCGGCCTGCCGCCTCGGCCGGGCAGACCTCCGGCACGCGCGGGTCAACGTGCATGTCCATCTCGTAGACCTTGTTCCTGCGGCAGAACTTGACGACGTCTCCGCTGGTCTCGCGATGCGCGTAGCTAATGTCCTGCCCGCCCTCCGAGGCGAAGACGAGCTGATGGCCCGAGTCGACCATCTCCGCGACGCTCAGCAACGGCTTGCTGACGTCCGCCACCCTGAACATGGCATGCCCCAGGCATCGCCCCCACGAAGAGCCTAACGCCCTCGTCGTCCACGTAGTGGCCGGAAGCGGTCTTGCACGAGATCGCCTGGCCACCCTCGTGCACCGGGTAGTCTGCGCACGAGCCACGCGGCAGCACCGATGCCGCCGCACACGAGCCGATGCCCACGCACAAGATGCCGTTGAGCTCGACCTCCTCCGCATCCGAGTTGCCGTGGATCATTTTCAGGTCCAGGGCCGCGCCGATCGCGGAGTCGACAACGTCCGCCTTCTCTGGCCCTGGGTCGTAGATGATGAGGGAGTGGGGGTTCGCGAACGGGTAGCTGGCCTGCTCGTCCGCGTCGCTCAGGTAGAGTGCCGCGACCTGCCGAGAGCTCGCGCCGGACATCGCCGTCGCCGGACTCAGCCTCGCAGTCGCAGCCGTCGAGATAGAGCTGGCCGCCGACGGCGCAGTCGTGCTCGTCGACTAGGAGGCGTCGATGCGAGCCAGCGTCTGCTCCACGCTCGCCAACGCCCCCCTGCACTTGCTCGGGCATTCGCCCTGGGTGCGGCCGCGACCGCCGCAACCCCAGCACAGGGGCCCTAGCTGCTGGCCATGCGACTTGCTGCCGGTCTTGCCCTTGCCGTCGGACTTGGACTTGCCCTTGCTGTCGCCCTTGCTCTTGCCCTTGCCAGCGGACTTCCCCTTGCATTTGCCGTCGCCCCTGGACTCACCCTTGCCGTCATCTTGGCGAACGCACTCAGATCCATGGGCACGGGCACCGGGGCGATGGCGCTCTGGGCACGGCGGATGTCGGTGACCTCGCGTCGGAAATCCTCCCACCCCGCCAGCCTGGTCGCATTGAGCAAGAAGTGCTGGCGTAGAGGGCCTTCCTCGAGCTGCCGAAGGACGATGCCGATCCTCATGGAGGCCGAGATGGCCTCGCCGCTCCTCTGCTCGTACCTGAGGAGATCTCGCTCGAACAGCTCCAGCCTGTCCTCGACATCGCCCGCGAACGTGAAGTTCAGGAGATTCAACAGCTGCCCCGCGATGCGGGACCTCGCATTCGGTTCGTAGTACTCGACCAGCTTGCGCCAAGCCTGGAAGCCCTCACTCTCGCCAGCATTCGCGATCGTCGTCAGAGGGTGCTGCCGGCAGAGGAGGAGCAAAATGTAACGCAGCTGCTGCGAGGCCTGCCTCATATTCTCCTCTATGAAGTCGCCAATCTGGACTGAGGCCTCGTCAGCATTCTCTGCCAGCCGCATCCCTGCCAGCAAATCAGCGTTCACAACGCCACAGTACGCCTTGAAGATCACCTTCCAATCGTTCCACTTGTGCTCCTCGCCCGTGAACACGTCTGGCTTGCCCAGCGTGCGAGTGTCCACAAGCGACTCAGCTCGAGGCTGCAGCACATGTCCCTCCACCCGTGGTCGAGCCTCGGCCGCGCGGCCGAGCCGCTGCACCTCGGCCGTGAGATCATTATCCCTCTGCTGGCGGTTCTGCAGCTCCCGAGCCATCGCCAGCATCTCCTGCTCTAGAGCGTGCGTGCGCTCCTCCGCCATCTTAGCGGCGGTTCGCTCGCAGTTTCGCGAAATCCTTCAGGTGCTGGCCCAGCGCCGCCCAGGTCCTCCTGAGACGGAACAGCTTGCGTAGCGACCGCGCTACTCTCCTCCAGCCGCTGTGGACTTCGAGGAGCTCCCACTCGTCGCCGCTGCCTCCGCTGGGCCCAGCCGGCCCTGCTGCGGCTCCCGCGCCGGCAGGCCGCCCCAGGCTACTGGGGCTCCCCGCGCCGCTGGCGGGAGCGGGAGCCGCAGAACCCGACCCCGTAGACTGGGAGGGCCGGGACCACGGCTCCGCTACCATGGCGAGATATTTTCTTCGGATGATTGCCTTGATGAGTTGAGCTCGAACGTCGACGTACAGACTCTCTTGGAGTAAACCTGCTGGGGGTCTCTGGATTCCTGCATGAATAAATAGTTCAGCGAATGATCGTTCAGAAAAAATGATTGAGCTGTCTCTATTGGGGTGTGTGGGAGCCGTATCGTAGACGGGACGCTCAAGCCTTCCCGCCGCGCCCACCCCTTTTTGAAACCAGAGCTTTTCAGGAAGATGACGATCGTGATATCATCTCCTGGTCAGAGTATGTGCTCGGAGCTAGGAGTTTCATGCTCCTTGAAGTGCGATGTGGCTGCCAATTCATGTAGTTTTTGATTATACTTGGCCCGCAGGGCCCTCTCATCGCACTGGAGTATGTTCGTCAGTTCACACATTCTAGTTTGTGCAGCTTTCGCTGGCCCCCGCCTTGCTCCTGAGTAGTTACGTAAGCTAATACCTATTTTGTGAAAAGGGGGCTAATTGTAAAATGTCCGAGGTCGGGGGTCGCATGGGACCCCCTGGTTCATTTGGGATGCGCCTGCCTGCTTCCATTTAGTTCCTCGCTCTCGTAGCCGGTTCCTTCAGAATGCCCCCTACCATTAGTTCGCCTGGCGTAGCATTGCAGTGCATGTCATTGCGTGGGGTGGCACAATACGGCGCCCAGAAAGCCATACTTCCAGGGCGAAGCTGTGCCTTTTCTCGTGCATATTGGGCTAAACAAAGATACGTGTAATATTCATTCATTTGATGCCGGACAGATGTGACGTGGGACATCTTTCCTCCACTGTAATCTCTTTCTTCTGGCTGGGAAATGCCGAGACATGAGACAATCCTTTTCCTTTGCGCCTGGAACATCCGCAACATGTGGCGCCTCTGTTCAATGACCCAGAGACGTAAGCTGCGACATGTGAGAATTCTACCACTCCTTGAAAACCCCTTGATTTTCCCTTTACAAGAATGCGACTTACCGCTAGTACGGACTGTGCCGGGGTGATTCTGTCGTGCGCTGGGGCTACGGGAGAAGGCCAGGAAAGGGGAACTCCCCCAGTCGCAGCCTGGATGGCAAGATCGGAGAGAGAGCGTTTCACGGGGGCGCTTGCCTTGGGAACATTCGGCGGCGCGTTTCGAACCGGGGGGTGGGCCCCCAAAAACAACTCGGCGCCGTCGATCAAAACCAGCCCCCAACACTCGGCGCCGTCGATCAGAACGAGGGGGACTCCCCTCCCCCCATCCCATCCCCCTTTCCAGGGGGGGGTGGGGGGTCCAAAACCCTCTCCCCCCGCCGGCGCCGGCGCCGGCGCTGGTGGCCGCCAGCAGCGCCGAGCCGCCAGCAGCGCCGACGGCGGGGACGCAGCGACGATAGGGCCCAAGGGGAGGGGGGGGGGTTCCACCCCCCCCCCGCCGGCGCCGGCGCCGGCGGCGGCGAGCAGCGCCGACGGCGGGGACGCAGCGACGATGACCAGAGAGGGCCCAGGAGGCCGCAGAGGGAACACACAAATCGCCATATCGATCCCTCGCCCCCAAGAAGCCACCGAGAGGCCCTCAGGAAGGCCCACGAGGCTTCACACATGCTCCTAAGACGCCCCCGAGACCCTTCTGACGAGACCTGAAGGGGCATCCATTAGAACTCCAACCCAAAGCGAAAACACGATGGCGGGGAGAGCAGAAGGCCACACCAATCACCACCACCACCACCACAAACCGCCACACCACCACCACCACCGCCACCACCACCACCACAACCACCGCAACCCACCACCACCACAAAAACCAGCATCACCACAAACCACTTCACCCCCACCAAAACTGCCATCACCACCAAGCCCACCACAACCCACCACAACCACCACCACCACAAACCACAACACCATTACCACCACCACAACACCACCGCCACCACCAAAACAATTACAACAACCCACCACCACCACCACAAACCACCACACTACCACCACCACAACCACCACCACCTCCACCACCCACCACCCACCGCCCACCACCCGCCACCCCCACCACCACTACCAGCAGCAACCACCACCACCAGCACACCCCACCACCACCACCACCACAAATCACGACAACACCACCACCAGCACCGCCACCACCACTACCACCACCACCACCAAACCACCTCAACACACCTCAACCCACAACCACCACCACCAAACCACCACACGACCACCACCACCACAGCCACCACCACCACCACAACAACTCACCGCCATCACCACCACAACAACAACCCACCACCACCACTACAACAATGTACCGCAACACCACCACCACCACCGCCACAACCACCACCACCATAAACCACCACGCCACCACCACCACCATATCACCACCGCCACCACCAGAACAATTACCACAACCCACCACCACCACCATCACAGCCCACCGCCACCACCACGTCAGAGAGGCCCCAACAGGCACCCAATAGACGCCCAGGAGGCTTCACAAATGCCCTCCAGAGGCCTCCGAAAGCCCTCCGACGAGACCCCAAGAGGCATCCATTAGGACTCTGATTATGTCGGGCATGTCCACCTGCGGGAGTTCTATACAAGAACTATAGACAACAAGCAAAACATACATTTTCGTTGATTATTCAACCACCTTTAAACCACATATTCGGGGGATGCTCCCAAAATACTAAAGAAAAACCGCGGTCCTTGCTGGAGGATAATCGTGTGTTCGCGATGTCCCCCTTGCGTGCTTCGGCACGCGTAAAATACATGGCGCTCTGCGCGCCAGACAAAGGGGGCGCCTTTTTTTCAACGTCGCGTAAACTATGGCCGCGTGTACTTCGCTACAAAAGAAACTCGATGCACATTCAACGGTCTCGCGGTCGCGCGAGAGCGAACCGACCCTGCTGCGCAATCAACCGACTCCACGCGGTTCGTTGCCACGGGGCTCGCCTCGAGGACAAGCGACAGACGCGGCGTGTGCCCTGAGGGCACGCGAAAGGAACCACCCGAAAAGAACCAATCCGAAGGCGCAGACGGTCCGAAAGCAACCGCTGACCGCTACGCGCGCAAAAGGGCAAGCGAGACGCACCGCAACATAAAAATGAGGGTCCGCGGGGGCTGGCGGCGCGCCGCAAGTTCGTCCTTTTATTAACGATCAATCTTCCGATCGACCGATCGACCAGCCCCCCTCCCCCACGCCCTCCTCTTCCCCGCCCCGAGCTGCACGTGCTTGTCAATGAAAACAAGGGCGGGCGAGTGGGAGAACTGAATAGAAAAATGGATGCGCAAGTCCTGGCCTTTCTCTGCCTGGAAGCTGCGCAGCGCGCGCAGGACGCATCACATGTTTGATGCGCGCGCGCATTGAGAACCAGTCCCCCAGCAGGGTCGGGCAAACGCAATGATGCCGCGACGCATCTGCGGCGCGGAACGACATGCGCTCGGCAGCATAGCGGCGCGCTGTTCAGCCCACGTGGGCACCGCACCAGCAAGGCGCGTCGCGCGTTTGGCAGCCCCGGCGCAAGGCATCTGAACCGCTAGCGAGCCCATTGCATCATACACCGCAGCGGCGCGATGCGGGGCGAAGGGGGGGAGAGGGGGGGGGCATTACTGCAGAACTTTCGCGCTCTCGAGGAGGAACCGCGGGGCCAGCCCCAAGGGAGTGCTTTCCAGCAAACGCGCGGTGGAATCCCCTGGAAAACTAATCTGCGGAATATTGTCAAACTCGCAAATTGCACTGGGGCGTCTTTGGAGTATTTCAAAGAATTGCAAGTGGCATTGAAGCATCCTTTGAGTAGTCCCACCAGCCCTTTGGGCGTGAGTGGTTTAGAGAGCTCTCTCTGTCCTCAACCCCCCAACCCCCCTTCTTCCCCTTCGGGGAGGGGTTTACCCCTCCCCCTACCCCCTCCCCCTGGGCCTGGAGAGGTCGCCCCGCGGGTGGTCAGAGGGGTCTTTTTCGACTCCTGGGAGGGCCAAACAACGACGACCCTCACGAGGATTCTGGCCCCGTCGGGGGGGACCACGAAAAAATGCTCTCCTCTTCTCTGGAGCCAAAATCCTTGATTGTACTACGGGTTTGGCCCCATCTTGGCCGTCTGAGGGGCCAGCGCTGCTCCTTGTTCTCCAAATTATTGATTTTACGAAGGTTGTGGGCTCATTTTGTCCTTCTGAGGGGGTGGCGCTCATTTGCGCTTCTCAGGAGGTCGCAAGAAGCCCCCAAGAGGCCCCAAGATGCCCCCAGGAAGCTCCCAAGAGGCCTCCAAGAGGCTCCCAAGCCGCCCCCAAGAGGCCTCCAGAAGCTCCCAAGAAGCACCCCAGAGGCGTCCACGAGGCACCCAGAGCCCCCAAGAGGCTCCCAAGGCCCCCAAGAGTCCCCCAGGAGGCGCCCAAGAGGCCCCCAGAGGCCCCCAAGAGGCTCCCAAGAGGCCCCACCAGGAGCCCGAACGACTCACACCAGGACGAGGGCCCCGAGCGACTCACACCACGAAGAGCTCGAACGACTCACACCACAACGAGGGGCCCGAACGACTCATACCAGGACGAGGCGCCCGCCCGACTCACACCACGAGGAGCCCGAACGACTCGCACCGCGACGCGGGCCTCGAACGACTCACACCACGTGGAGCCCGATCGAGTCACACCAGGAGGAGGGGCAGCGCTCATACAAGCCCCCCAAGAGGGCCCCAGAG